GATTAACATTCGATGGACGGGGTGTGTCATTGGATATGTGACTCAAAGTAATTTTACCCACTGCTGCTCTTGAGATCCCATTCAAATTGAAACACTATAAAACACCCTGACCTCCTCTGACCCCTGAACTAACCAGATAATGTGGATTTAAAAAGGACTTTACACATTTAAACCAAAAAAAAAAAAGGCATGAAATGACATGAAAAGAAAATGAACACCACAAACACTTTAAATTATGTTCTGGGCTGAAATAATTCTCTTCCAACAAAAAAAACACATAAACCAAACATTAAGGTGCTTTACTGTCAGGGCTAAGTAATAATCAACGTATAGCCAGTAATGGCAGACCTATTTAACCTACCTAGCGCATTTACAGTCTAAGTGGTACTTTAAGCTACTTGAAGCAGGAAAAGCAACAAAAACATCAGATGTGCCATATGCTAGATGTGTGGAGCTAGAAACGTATATCAAGGTGCAATAACATTATATTTCCAGTCAAATCTAAAGCCAGTTGATTATGTTCTGGGTTTAAACAGGTGTATTTATTGAAAGATAGTAGTATTCCTCACAAAACATGTCTGACCATAGGGTTGCTGTCTGTTTTCTTACCTAACTGTGTGTCTGTGTGTAACAGACATTAGACATATGAAATATGTAGTGTGTGTGTGTGTGTGTGTGTGTGTGTGTGTGTGTGTGTTTGTGTGTTTATATGAACTTTGTTTTCCAGTTCAATGACCCCTCTCTACAGACATCATCATCAGCCCTGAGCAGGAGGCTAAAGATTGAGTAGTAGAGTGACTTAATGTTTACAGTCATTAAATATAATGCGCTGCTGAGTGTATATAGATTGTACACGGCAATGCTGTCAGGATATGAGATAATTCATTAAAGATTTTCTTATACAGTCGTCTAATGTTTTGGTACTTTGACAAGTGAGGAAAGGCAGGCTTTGTTGTCAACATTAAATTACATTTGTTCAGTGGGCTGAAAATAGCTCGGCATTTATGGAGCAAAACAAATGTTTCTCACTCCTTTGATCACTGAGCAGTGTATATTCATTAGCTATGGCAAAGTCCACAATTGTGCAGGGCAATGTAACTCACCCTGTAAGGCGCACTAAAGTGAACAAGTCAGGAGTGACTCATAGGAGGCACTCAATGAAAATAAATCACTAGCTTTTAACAGCTCTGCCTTTGTAAATGACAGATATTAAAATGAACAGAAACCATGTTTGAAACCTCACTTAAAAGGACATTTTATCCATGATTTCTGAAGCCAAAAGCCTGTTAAAGAAATTTCTTTTGTTTACTATTTGCAAACTTACAATTCATAACAACTTGTACTGAACTCAAACACAAACCCCACTCCACAGCTAAAAGAACAACCCAGTAAATCCCACTCACCCTGTACCTATCTTACTTATAAGATAAATGTTGTGAACTACTCACTGCACACTGCCATGTGTGCAAAGTATTAATGTCAGATCTGCTGATTCTATTTGTTGACAAATGTCTCCATTGAAGGTTTTTTACAAGCCTTGCAGGTTTGTTTTTAAAAGTCAACAGGAGTGTGCCGTTTATCCAGTGTTATCTCTGTTTTAAAACCAGCACCAACAAACTCATAAATCATCTCAAACTGTGAGCCAGATAACAATAATTGAGCAAAAGTCATGCAGACAAAGACAGCTAGTTAGCATCGCTAGCTAACGTTACCATGAGCTAATGACAATAGCTGAACGGGCTCAGGCTACTCCCTGGAACAGGGGCAACTACACTGGATAATTCAAAATGGGGAAACGCTTTGTGTGGGGTATTGCGAGGTTACGTGTGCGATGAAACCACAAAGCGTTTAATGAAGTGAAGTCATGTTGTGTGTGTTGCACGTACACTGTGCTAACCGGTGTCAACGAGCTGTTTGTATCCAGACATTAGCCTGCTCCCAGCTGGCATTCCCCAATCAGTGCTAGTCACTGGCGCTAGCCGCTAACGGTAGTTCATGGTAACCAGCAACAGTGAGGGGCAAACAAGTCTATCAGCTAACTAGCTAGCTGATGCTAATAGGCAAATTAGCCCAAGAGCTAGCGGGTAAAAGGGTGTACGTTAACAGTCCCAACGTTCACAAACTACAAACTACTCCTCATATTTGTCATTTCTGCCCCGTTTTGCTGATGAACGTCAAAAAGGTAAAGGAGACGAGTGGTTGAAGCTCACAGCACTTACCTTGAAGAGCTTGATCTACAACATCTGTGATTTGTTTGATGGGAGACTGCAACAACAAACAATAGCAGCAGCAGCAGCAGCAGCAGCAGGGGCAGCAGCAGCAGCAGCAGCAGGGGCAATTAGCCAACGTTAGTTAGCCAAGTGTCGCCACTACAGAGCAGCACAACAGCTGCAGTGCCACCTGTGTATCTTAGCTACAGCGGAGCGGACCACGTTTGATTCAATGCTGTCATAAATAAAAATGGACTTGAGAATAAAAGAGGGGAGTAATCGTTGCCGGAATGCTCAGACTAGTGTGTGTGAGGGGCACTCAGCATGACAGCATCCTTCTTCATCTTGGGGTGAGAACAGTTGGGGGGCTTCTCAAAGTTCAACCGGTAAAATATCGTCACCCACTGGCCAAACCTGGGAACATCCACCGAGGAGGAGTCCTCTGGGTGTCTGCTCTGGTAACAACACTGCCGGGTCTATCTTCATCCTCATAAACCGGTGATACTGCCAGACTATATTTGGACTGTCACTGAGGCCAGACGAGTAGAGAAAGAGTGAGGGGCAGAACAGAGAGGAGTGAGGGAGCTGCAGTGTAATAAATACACTTTATAAAAGCTTTACAGTAAGTACACCAATATGACCAAATATCACAATGACAGAATATAATAGAGTTCCTTGATGGAGTAGGAAACATTTTAAAGAATAACACAATTATAAAATAACAATTTGATCAACTGCAGCATTAATTAGCAATATATATATATGGGTCCACAAATCAGATAAAATAGTTATAAATGCAATTGTTAATCACATAATATAAAATAAGTTTTATGAAAAAGCAGCATAAATTGAAAATATGTGTGTTAAATGCGCATGCGCGGTGTGTATTAAGTTATCAAAGGTCGCTCTTTTTTCAGCGCTGTTGGAGAAGGTGCTGCATGATTGTTTGTGTACAACTGTTTATGTTTGAATAATCCTAGACACACAGTGTGAGAGACTTATTGACAGGCGTACATTTGGATTTGGACATTGGTTATATGTTTGATCGATTAATTAATTCTTTCATTAAACTGAGCTGCAATTAAAGTTAGCTGCACCTCTCTTGGAAATAAACAGTGTTGGGCTAGTTACTCAAAAAATGTTATACATTACTCATTACCCTTTTAAAAAGTAATATTATTACTTTACTTATTACTCCATGCTAACAGTAATTAGTTATAATACTAGTTTAATTAGTTTTCGTCTACTCACCACAAAATTGGTATTATAGATTGGTATTTGTGTCCCCTCCCCCAAAAATTAAGACTTACAATGATTAAAATCCAGTTTTGTTTGTTAAAATTAAATTAATGTGAATATTTCCAGGAGCTGAATGTTTCCATCTTCCAAACTAGTTTCCTCCATGATTACAAAACTGAATCCAAGGATGTGATTGAATTGTTGGATTTCAAATCAAGGGTGACAAAAGTAATATTGTAACTAATTATTTTTTTGGAGGAGTAACTATAATATCATTACTCAAATGTATTAGTAATAAGTTACACTACTAGTTACTTAGAAAAGTAATATTATTACTGTAATATTATTACTGTTAATGAGTTACTGCCACAACACTGAAATTAAACACACAATCCATGTCTTCTTGAGCAACTAGTTATTTATTTTTGGGTTGAAAATATAAACAAATTGCATGTTTTAATTAAATTTAAATGGTTTAATTTTTCACCTATTATTAATCTGATATGTTCAGGCGTAACTTCAGCTCCAGGATTTGTCTTTAGCGTCAGTTCGCTGTTGATTTTATGTTCTTGATTTACTTAAAATGGCTGTAAGTTTTGATGAAGTACACTTTCAATGTCACTGTGGCAGGAGTTGAAACATTACGACGGTTTTTTTGTCATCAAGGAACATATCAGGGAAGTGTACTGCATATATCTGACCACTGGGGGGCGCAGCTCTCAAAGAAAAGACATTAAGCATTGCAGTGTCCAAGAATCCCATGTATTTTGGGCTTTAATCCACACTGTAATATCAGTTTACAAGTCACCCAGATTTACTCTGACTGTTTTGAACTTTATGTAAAAACACAATTGTTAGTCCATTTAAGTGTGAAGACGACGTGTTGCTGATGAAATCTGCAGCTGCCGATAGCCACAGGATGTTTATAGATTCTGTAATATATGCTTGGTAGTTTCTTTGTACCAGTGATTTGTAATACATCTCCTTGGTGACAGCAAAACAATAGAGGCAGGTTCAGACAGGGCTCACACAAAGTGAATTGGTGTGGCACAGACCCAGCTGGCAATCCCCCCCGGTACCATACAACTGGTGAATAGACCCTCATTTATCTTGGCAAGGCTCAGTACTAAAAGAGCTTGCTTAGAGCTTCTGGATTCTTTTACCCCAGGGGGACAGAAATGGCGTCCCAGAGCACAGAGCTCATGTTTCTGCCTCTCGGTGGCACTCAGATTACATCAAACACTTCAGACAGTCAGGAGCAGTTTCTGAGGAGGCCCTTTACTGCGAATACTCTCACTTTATCTGCCAAAAAAAATCTATGAATCCTACATGATTTGTGATTATAACCTTTATAGTAATCATTATGAGCTGAAAGAAGCAATGGTATGTCTCGCTCTAAAAGTTTCTTCTTTTTAATTTCTCCCACTGGTCTCTGTTAATGGTTAAATTATAAAACTTGAATTTATATGGGAATTAAAACTAATTAAAATCATAATTCATCATAATTGAAGCTCAGCCCCCAAACCTAATGAAGAAAAATAAAACAAAGCATTTCAAACTATATTGTTTATTACATATTTCTGCCCACGCTTACAGCAACACAAGACCTTGTCAGATGCGACACATTGCACATACAGTACTGTTACCACTGCTCGAGGCAGAGCCGTACTAAAGTTACAGTAGCTCAAATACTCAATAGAGGACCAAGATTCACTACAACTCACAATAAGCGAAACAAAGATCTCTCACACAGTTACACAAACACAAACATAGGGACCAACACTATTCAGGAGCTTAAGCATAGTTTGAGGGTGAGCTGAACTGTGGTTGTACTAGGACGTACTGTAGCTTCTCCCCGCCACAGACCACAGACTTGGACCTTGGATTTCAGCGTTGTTCTCTCCATCTTCTCTCCGGACAGGGCAGGCAACCTAGCGTGGCGTATATGTGTGGGGGTTATTTATGAGCAATGAACACACAGAGGCCCCAAGGAGCAAGACCAGCTCAGATGGGGTGCCTGAAGTTCTGGCCGGCAAAACGGGCCTTGTCGCCGAGCTCCTCTTCGATCCTGGGAGAGAGTGATGACACAGGTTGTTAACACGCATGGATCTATAGACTGAGGAAATCTGAAATATTCTATATTGGAAATCATACCGATAACAAAAATATGTAATTTCTTTGGACTGGACTCACCTGAGCAGCTGATTGTACTTGGCCAAGCGCTCAGATCGGCAAGGTGCACCTGTCTTGATCTGGAAAAGGAAATAAATGACATATATAAGACCCTGTAGTGTAAAAGCTACTCGCAACATAATTACTGACACACAATGCCAATAAACTTCCAAATAAGAATGAAAAATTCAAAATTTCTTGGTTAAGGTTTTACCTGTCCAGTGCAGAGACCGACCACGAGGTCAGCGATGAAGGTGTCCTCTGTCTCTCCGGAGCGATGGCTGACCATCACACCCCAGCCGTTGCTCTGCGCCATCTTGCAGCTAAAGCAGAGAGACACATGTTAGCCCTGTTAGTCAGCTCATACACGCACATATAACAGCTTATATAGTGTGACGATCACGCTGCTCTGTTGTGGACACTCACGCCTGCAGAGACTCTGTGACGGAGCCGATCTGGTTGACTTTGAGCAGCAGGCAGTTGCAGGCCTTGTCGGCCACAGCCTTGGAGATACGTTTAGGGTTGGTGACTGTGAGGTCATCGCCCACCACCTGGATGCTAGTGCTGGTTGTGAAATTGGTCCATGCCTCCCAGTCATCCTGGTCAAAGGGGTCCTCAATAGACACCACTGTTAAGATAGGAAGGAAGAGAGAGCAATGGTACATCAGTTTAAGAAGCTTATGGTATATAGTTATTATCTACAGACATCTTAAACCTGCAATAACTGATTTTATTGGCCACTTGGGGGCAACAGAAACAAGCTGCTAAATGCTCCACTATGTTCACCAGCTAGCTGCTACATGTAACAGCAGTGTACAGTCGGTTTTTAAGAGCTTTTTCCCTGAAAAAACTGCCTGATTCAGCCAAAGACAATGCTTGTGAGAGCAGTGAGAGTAAACTAAACCATTACATTCACTTACAAAATCACAGTTTATGTAAGATCAAATAACTTCCACAAGTCTGTCCTTCATGCTCGCCTTTTTCTTGTTATACTAAATTGAGCTCCATAATAAAAGAGCTTTAGAGCTGTAAAGATGAAGTTATGTGTTTAAAAGCCCACCGGGGTAATCTTTCACAAAGCTCTTGTAGAGGTCAGCCAGCTTGTCAGGGGAGATGTAGCGGCTGGGGTCGTCAGGAGACTTGAAGTCCAGGTCGTACTTGCCACCCTTGTAGAACTCAGAGGCAGCCACATCCATGCCAATGACGATCTTGTCGGTGTAGCCGGCCTTGCCAATGGCATTCTTCAGCAGCTCCAGAGCTGAGACAAAATCAACACACTACAGTAAAAAAACGTGACTGGAAATGCTGCCAATAAAAGAAAAAGAAAAAAAAAAAAACTTTTCACAAGTGAGTCACCACTGAAGACCCTGCTCCACTGGGGCATTTGCCATATCAGCACCTTAACCTGACACAGGAGTCAGACGCAGGCAGTCAATGCACTCAGCACTGAGTTGAGGCCTTAATTTAGAAACCATATGTGAGCCCAAGAGTGACATGATAAGTGAAGTACTTCCCTGAGAGATCTAAGAATGTAACACAGTAACAACTCTCCATAATGAACTCTTTCCTCAAAAATAACAGTGTCCTAAAATAACAGCAGCTCCGTTGGCTTGATATGAAAAAATGGCTCTGCGTTCATGCTTTCTCTCACCTTCCTTGTTCTCCAGGATGTTGGGGGCGAAGCCTCCCTCATCTCCTACATTGGTGGCATCCTTGCCATATTTCTCCTTGATGACATTCTTCAGGTTGTGGTAGACCTCAGCACCAATACGCATGGCCTCCTTGAAGCTGCTGGCTCCCACAGGCAGGATCATGAACTCCTGCATGGCCAGCTTGTTGCCTGCATGGGAGCCGCCGTTGATGACATTGAAAGCCTGAAAGGAGGCAGACAGGATCCGCTTTCAGCCTGATGAAATCACAACTGAATATAATGATTCTTTGGCTCAAACATTAGTGCTACATGACTGTTGGTGCCATTAGCATTACAAGGCTGTGGTACATGACTTGGGTAATTGCACTATCATGCTCACAGGGACAGGGAGGATGACTTCAGGGTTGCCAGCGAGGTCAGCAATGTGGCGGTAGAGGGGAACGCCCTTCTCTGCTGCACCAGCCTTGCACACAGCCAGGGAGACGCCCAGGATGGCATTAGCACCAAACTTAGCTGAGGGAGGGTAAACACACATGTTTCAGTATACTGAAGGCAAAAATCAATAATGTATGACCTTGAAATGATATAGTTCTAGCAATGATATTGATACTGATATAGTCAAGTCAGTTATAATACACAATGTAGCATCTTACACTTGTTTTCTGTGCCATCCATGTCCAGCATCAGTTTGTCAACCTTGGCCTGATCCACAACGCTCACATCCTGGATTAGATAGAGCATGACACGTTATACTGTTCATGTGGAAATAAAAGATTAACTAGGTTTAATTCTAACTTGTTAGTTCAGAAGAACACACTCTAGTAACGTTAGAATAATCACAGCATCTCACTGAAGCTCTGCTAATGCAATGGTTTATAGATACCTTTATCATTTGTATAAAGGTAAAGGAGAAAAAAACAATGAGCTGAATGATGTAAAATAGCTCAAAAAACTGCTCAACATGTCAGTTTTATGAAATTAAATGTCTTACCACTTTGTTTTAAATCACTAGTCTATTGGAAACAGTCAGTACTGCTGACAATGTTACTAATTCAATTAATTCAAGAAAGTGATCAATCAATTTAAGGCTTTTGATACTAGCACACAGTAATATTAGTCAAACAATAAATGGTCCTACCTTGCTAACCAGTGCAGGTGCAATTGTTTTATTGATATTCTCAACAGCTTTTGAGACACCTGCAAGGGACAAGCAGACCATGACTGACCCAGACGGAAGAAGACCATGCAGAGCAGGCGAGACAGATGACCACAGAGCACCTCATCCAGTCTTGTATGGATGTGTGAGTAATTCTCATGAAATTATTTAGCCATCTATGATTGTGCTCTTTAATATATTTCTATTTTTAGATCTGTGAACATCTGTTAGTGCCTGCCAAGGTTAGTTTCCAAAGGCAAACCCATTGTTCATGCGCACAGTGGCATGTAAAAGAGTCATCCTGTTATTCCACACATTATTTACCTGGTTACACAACGCAGGGGCCAAGAATTCATTTACATATTTAACTGCTCTTTTGACTCCTAATAGAAGGAAGAAAGATGGACGAATCGGAAATGAGGAAGAAAGACTCAGAGACAGACAACATAGAGTATAGCTGTGTTGAAATGACATTTAAGATGGCGACAGAATAGAGGTAAGCAGCAAGTTTAGAGGGGGAATCAATGAAGACGCCTTACCTTTGCCCATGTAGCGTGTTTTGTCATTGTCACGGAGCTCCAGAGCCTCATAGATTCCGGTGGAAGCACCGCTGGGAACTGCAGCTCTGAAAAGACCTTGAAGACACAGAGGACGTTTTGCAATTGTCATTACCTGAAGTGCTGTGTCATGTCCAACAAGAGGGCCAAGGACTGACTTCTGTTTGATAATAGTTGCAATGTAATTTTACCAGATCAGCCATTACCATGACGATGAAAGTGTCTAAACTATGAGATGATGACTTTGTGATATTTATACAGCACAGAATCTGCATACACAAACATGTCTGATAGGGCATTAAGTGCAGGAGGGGCTGATGGTATTCAAGGAGCAGCAGCAGTAAAAAGGCACTAAGGGGTTGACATCTAATCAGCTAAAGGCATTTTCTACCACAGTAATGTACATCGTCATTAGAGAGAAGAGAGAGAAATAAAGCTTGTGTGGAGGAAGTTGTGACTGGCTGTGCGGCAGAAGGCTGTGATGTAACAGGAGGAAGACAGGCTGCCGCACTGAGCATGTGCAGTGCATCTGTGGACGGATGCCAAGCCACGCCCATATATAAGAGGCTGGCCATTTTGGATTCATCCAAGTATAGAGAAATTGGGGATGAGCAAAAATCTATTCAGTTTGCTCATTGGACCGGCAGGAATGGTGCGAGTCTGAAGGGATTTAAGGCTTAGGACATGAGGACAGAGCGGCTGTCTCCGCCGTGAGTTCAGGCTTAACAAATCATCTGCATCAAGACATCACCTGGCTGCAGCTGGATGCTTCTAACAGTCCTTCAGGCTATAAACCGAGATGCTCTTACTAATACTAGTTTATTAACAATTTATCTGGTCAAATACAATGAAAATATTAATCTGCAGCAGTTCAAATACTTACTATACTGGGATGTTCTCCATGGAGACAATGCAACAAATGACAAATTATTAATAATTAATTTCTATTTTGTGCAGAGGACAGTGACAGTGAGAGTAAATATCTCTCTAGATTACCAGAGTTACTGAAATTACATAATTCTAACAACGAGCATCAGAGGTCTTCTAGTATGAACGTGACCGAGAGGCAAGCTGGTTACATAACACAGAAAAACACATTACAGTGACTATGACAGGCATGCTCTGGGTGCAACACGCTCACTTTTGTCTCTGCCGTTAATGATGCCATAACAGGCCTGGCTGACTTAAAAGGGAATCTTATCAAAAAAAAGAATAAAAGGTGCTATTTACAGTAAACCGGAGCAACCATCCCAAACTAATAGAAAGACGACAGGGCTGCAGAACAGAGCAGTCGATTTCCAGCCAACGTATTCAAGGCAGTGTAGTCTGTTCCACTCACTTCCATGTCAATGGTCATTCAGGTTGCTTCATTAACATTCTCAGCGCATTTCATTGGGTTGAGCTACTCCTTTGTTTTAGCTCTCAGAACAGAGCAGCTCGCCAAAAAACTTCAATCGCAGTCGGGCCCATTAGTTAATTGGATAAATTGATCTCAACCTTAGGCAGAGGTGTCAAACTTTTACAACTTTAAGAGGTGTTATACTCAGCAGCTTCATTATGTAATCTAGCATACAACTAGATAAGAGAAGCGTACTGCGGAGCTCTACCTCCCATGCAATATCAAGGATTCGTCTCAACTCAGGTTTGCTAGAAGTACCTACTGTATGAGCTATCTGTGCTCCCAAACAGGAACCATTACAGTAACAGAGTGCTGTAGAGGCAGTGTGATATTACAGGAGCTATTTTCACACAACCACCATCTGATCTGATCTACTCTGGGCCCAGAGCTGGCAACCGCACGGGGCAACAGAGGGGCCACACTGGCTTACTATCCTAATCTATAACGTTTCACTAGCTAGCTAATTGGGAAAGACAAAAGAAATGTATGAAACCGATGTTTATTTAAGTGATGGATATGTTCAAATTACTTACTAAACAATGTGTAGAGGTTGAACAAGCATTAAAGTTTAATTTGTAACGACGGCCTTCTGTAGTCTGTAAGCTGATGTGATGTGCCCTTCTTGACCACAATCTCCTCCAGGACATAAAATCATGCATACAAGCCATACAATACCTTTCTTGGTGTACAGGTCAACCTCCACAGTGGGGTTTCCACGGGAGTCAAAAATCTCACGAGCGTGAATCTTCAGGATGGACATGGTTCTGGATCTGCAGGTGAAACGTCACAGAAGAGAGATCAGTATACTGCAGTTGCACAGGCCAAGTAGACAGACGGCGGTTACTCTGCACCGTTACTCACTGTATTAAATCTTCAAGTCAAAACAGTGAGTGGGCAAAAACCTGAATGCTCAATGAGACACGCGGGACAAAATGTAATCCAATTTAAAGCCAAGAGTTTGGAGGCAAAGCCATAAACCATCTAATAGACTCTCTAATTAAATATATGTCTTATCCTTAGCGCGCCACCTGAACCAACTGACGTGGGCTGGCCAGGGTGGCAGAGATATTAGTCCCAGGAGGGCGTGGCTTATGCAGCAAAAAAAAATCCATTCAGTTTACTTAATATATCAGATTACAAAACAGCCTTGCAAAAGGCTTGCAAAACTGAGTTGAGAGCACTACTGTCAAACAGTTAAGCAAGAACTCTTGATAACAATAGTAATAAGTAACAATACGTGAATGACATGGCACAATACATGTTTGGCTTCTTATTGTCTAAGTTACAGCGTACAGATATGGATTAAAAGCCTGAGTAATGGTCTAATCTCATGGAGCATTCGTTATCTCTCCAAATTCCAGTAGTGGAGGACAGAGGAGGCTTTAAGTCAGTCTGGTTCATGACGCCTGCTGCACTATTGATTCTCATTTGTTTTTGTCTAACTTGCCCCGAGTCCATGCACTAACTTGCTCATCTACCCACTCTGAATGCATGAGTGAACTTTGAGTACAGTCTGCAAAGCTAAACTAGAGTGAGCAGAACCAATGGAAAATCCTCTGTCCTTAAAAGTATGTATGGAAACTTGCCAATGGCTACAGCCAAGAGGCAAAATCACCCAAACACACACACACACACACACACACACACACACACACACACACACACACACACACACACACACACACACACACACATGCACAGATCCTGCTCTTTAGCTAAATGGAAATATTTTACAGTTTACTGGGGTCGGGTATTGAACCTCAATACTTTTTTGACACCTACCCAAATGTGTCTCTTGGCACAGAGTGTTGAAAACTGTCAATCGGTCTGTCTGGTCAGATTTATAATCTTGTTTAGTTATAATTTTATCATATTGTCCCTAAATTTAGAAAGATACACAGTTTATGTTGTTTTATGTAGGTGAAAGTTCTTGTAAGGCTGCTTTTGGTTAGATAATACAAGAAGTTTGCCTTCATTTGTTAAAATGAAAAGATTTTATAGAAAAACATGTTAATATTTATTACAGTAATCAGTACAGTAGCCTAAAAAGATACAAAATGTACTGAAATACCCACCCTACTGACCTGGAGATGGAAACAACATACACCCAAAAGATATATATCATACATGAATACAACAATTAACCCATTAACTAACAACTATAAATCTTTTTTCAAGCAAAAATGCCAAAATATCCCAACTTCCAGCCATTGTGAGGTTGCATATCCTCCTGCGATCGCTCATCTTTTGATAACAAAACTAAATAGCTTTGGGTTTTGGACTGTTGCTCTTACAAACAAGCTATTATAAGGCAGCTTCAGGACATTATGATGAGTATTTTTCACTATTTTCTGACATTTTATGGACCAAACGATTCATTGATTCATGGAAAAAGTAATCGGCAGAATAATCAATAATGGAAATAATAGTAAGTCGTAACCCTGACACTATAAAAACTATATTTCTATAACAGAGGTACACACACAACAATTTCTATTCCTTTTTATGTTTTTTTGCTGCCCTATCATGGCAAAGGTGCAGAGCAAGGAGGTAGGCTGGCAGCACAAAATGGCAGCCACAGATAAATAAATAATTAAGAATAGAAACCTGATATCTGTGTATGGATGATAGTTTGGCTTAATCCTCAATTAGGCTACATTAGTGTCTGCCAGCATGACAAATATGTGTGTTAATAATCATCTTAATAACTATTAATAAAAACAAGAGCTTTCAAACTGCAGTAGTAAACTTACAATCTACTAACTGGATGACTTGTTAAAAGTACAGATATCTGCTGGGAGGTTTGTCAAATAGAGAAATGACTGATAATCACTGAGTAATCTTGCTTCATACAGTAATTTTCCTACAACCGGTGGACACACCCCCACGTCTGCTGCAAGCAACTGGTAGCTCACTCACTTCCTGAGCCAACATGTGTAGCCTATGACAGTGTCTGACATACCATCAACATCCTTCAAGGCTCTGAACAGAAAAGACACCAGTAGGGGCTCTTTATCAAACAGCGAGAGACTGCTGGAAGCTGGACCCTTGCAACCCGACGCCCTGTTCCCCACACACACTGCAGTTCTAAATGCAGTGACAGCTCGCCAGCTGACGGCCTGCGTTATAAATAGACGGTGTGGGCTACAAACTACTCCATCCTGCAAGCCACAAAACACACATCAACTGAGGGATTCACTGGCGTTTATAGAAAATAAGATTTTTTTAAAATCTGGTAATAGTCAATGACACAAGGACAAGACTTTGAGGTTATCGTCGAGGATGTGGAACACCATGTACACGTTTATAAAAGATAAAAGTAGTTCATATGAACACACACACCATCTGAGAATAGACTATTTCACTCTTAACAGCCGCTGTCCGACCCATAATGTGCAGGTAAAAAGCAGAAATAAAGTTACCTTTCCGGCCTAACTGTGTGCAAGGACGGTGCTGTGTGTCTCTCTCTCGTGCGGGCAGGAAGAGAAGGCGCTCGTGACGCTTCGGGCTCGATGATAAGTGGACGGAACCAGGAAGGAATGGCGGCGGAGCGACGCCATTGGCTGGGGCGGACTCACGAGGCACACGAGTGCGAGGAGGGATGCACGTTCACCATCAGGAGTCAGACAGACTTTACATCCCAAATGAGGAAGAGGAGGATGCGGAATTTCTTTTAATCTTTACTAAAGCATCATTTTTTTAAACACGACACGTACACAACACAGAGAGAAAGAGTTATTTTATCTCAGGTGAATTATGGGAAATGTAGTTTTTTTTTTTTTTCTTCCCCTCGTGAGGATGAGGGAGGTATGCGGAAAGATGACGCATTATGAGTACGTGCAGAGAAGCAGGCAGGGATCTCCGATGCGGTGGTTCGTTGTTGGTCACATGTCACTTGTGGTCACGTTGTTTGGCTCTGACTTTTTCCCCTATAACGAATTTCATTGAATTAATGTCGGTGGAGAGGTGTGTGGGTTTCTTACTGGACCAAAATGAGTACCGGTGTGATGACTTGCAGGCCAAAATATGTCTAGACGTCTAGATTCAAACTGGCTGGGGGGGAAAAAAAGAATAGCTCGTTGTATGAACATCATTTTAATATAAGTAAGAGTAAGTATAATTAATATGTAGTTAGGACTCACCCTGTGTAATATGTGGCCTTAACTATATAACTGAAAAACACCAAGTCAGTGCTCACTGGGAAAGTTTTGTTAAAAGATGCTATTAATCTACAGAAGCCTATTTAAAATGTGTTTGCCTAGAATCACCTTATTTTTCCTTTATACCTTTGTTTGAACATTTATTAGTTTAAAGTTGAAGTGTTTCATGCGTGTTTGTCCCTGTATGAACATGTAGAAGCACTCGGATTTGCACAATTATGTATTTTAAAGAGGGACTGCACCGGTAATTCATGTGGAAGTTGCAGTAATGAATCACAGCATGAGTGAATAGTGGGTTTCCCCCACTCATCTGGCGTCTCATCACTACAATACAAGGGTTTCACGCAGCTGCGCAGTGCAGTGAGCGCAGCATCCGCGCTACAGTGTGATGAAAGCCTGCTGCAGTGACCTTGAGACTTTGTCAGTGTTAAATTCAACTGCGCCCTCTGCTGCCCAGATGCTCTCAGTGAAATGTCTCTGCAACAAGTGCCTCCAGCAGGCATGTTCAAGTTTGGGAGGAATTGATTGTCAACATATGGAGAGAGGAATTCACTGTCTCCAGTATATTTATCCAATAAGCCCCCAAATTCTCAGTCAAATAACCTCAAAAGCCTACCTGTAGTATTTTGTAGTGATTACTCTCATGATCAACCCTGTTTCTTTTAAACAGTACATTTATTGTATGAATGAGCAGGTGAATTAAAGCACAGATACACTGGCAGCAATAAGTAAATACCAAAAATAAACTTAAAACTATGATTGATAATATTTAAAACGTATTGTCACTGCTCGTCTTCCTCGGGATTCAGGTCAGTCCCCTACACCCCCTTATTATTCTTATGGGAAAATGACAGTGAATGAAGCGGACATTACGTGGGAGGTTTCACTCAGTTTATTGATGAGTGGTGGAAGAAGTATTCAAATAATATACTGAAGTAAAAGTAATACCACATAATACTTATTCACTAATAAAAGTCCTGCATTCAAAGTCTTAGTTAAGCACAAGTACAGAAGTGTTAACAAAATGTACTTAAAGTATCAAAAGTAACAGTTGAAGGGTCCTTCTGTGTTATATTATTGTGCAACTGGATTATTGTTATTAGTGATGTGTTAATATGTAATTTCAGTCATCAGACAAATGTAGAGTAGTAAAAAATAATAAAATAACATTTTCTGAAATTTAAAGTATAATAAAGAAATAAAGTGATATTAATGACAGTTTGAGTTTAATTTTGTTGTTTTCCTCTGTCCCATGTATGTGTACATTAAATGTGTTGTTCAGACTATAGTATCACTTTAGGCTCGGGTAACAATTAGATTATTAATTGAGAGTAAAAAGAAGTTCTAGTTTTCAAAGCAGACATTTAGACGTAGTGGGAAAAGCACAAAGTAACATCAATGATGACTATTCAATGTCCCAGTATAACAGAGAACGAATGCACAATACCAAGACCCTGAAACTAAAGCAGCTAAATGGAATTCAGCCATAATTTATTGTCAAAGTGCCTTCAGTCACTAATGTATTGCACAAATATAGATAGTAATTAATGTGTACTAATTGTTAGAAAATTCATCCCTGGTACCTGCTGCACTCTGCACACACAGAGGATTGTGGAGGCGCTAGCAAAAAGTTGGTATCCAGCAGCTTTAGACCACAACCTGGATCTCACATAGCTGCACATTCTTTCCTCCTCTACAGCTCGTTGGAGCCAGAATCAGACTTACAATAACTACACTAAACCTACATCCATTAAAAAGTTTGCTTCTCTCAGTCAATTTAAAACATTTTCCCATAACCCAGTGTAACCAGCCCAGATGTTACATTACAGTGTCAGGCAGCCTGGGTGGAGGTGATGAGAGGCCTAGTTAGAGTGAAAGCTGGTTTGCTGCCTCACTCTGCTGCATATCTTTGAGGAACTGGCTGAATATGAGCTCCTTCCTCTCCGCCCTCTGGCTCCAACAAATCCCCAGTAAAATATATGTGCAAGTCAAACATATCGATGTGTAGTGTTCGGGCCATTCACATCAGCCTGCAACCTTAATTCTTCCAAGAAATCCTTTTCATACACTATGATGAAAACTTATTGCCACTGCCAAGCTAAGACTAAGTTGCTCCAGTGGGGCTACTCACTCAGACTGTGGTTGTACTGGGCAGCTTCCAGGTGTGAACGTGAGGGACTGTGCGGAGCAGCAGGGCGTTACTGGAAAGAGCTTTCAAGCTCAGTTACTATGAGTAAATAAAGACTTAAGACCCATACATTATTTCTATACTATGCATTTACTGATCCAGACAGCTCAACCAACAACCAGTATGCAAAGAAAATAACCTTTTTACACAACCATGTGGTTCACAACTAACTAACACAACTTTCCTCACTGAGCTGAGTGTGCATGATTTGTGTGGCCGTTTTTTTTTTTTTTCAGCACAGTTCTTTGCATCCTCCTCAGTTGAGGGCATGGTTGGTGCAGAAAGAGAAACTACACTGACATGCAAATGCACACCAGAAGTAATTTAAAAGACTAAAATGAGATGAGTTGAGGTAAGTTTCAGATGTCAAAAGCTAAATTATAAACACAAGTTAAATAATATAGTTTTTAAAGATACTTTGTACAATGTGAAACAGAAAATGGAGGAACAATATAAAATACAAGACGCAGTAAATACAAGAAATGAAGTGTTATGTTATAAATACTGAACTTAAATGGGGCCTATTATGCTCATTTCAAGCTCCACTAGAGTAGCTTTGCATGATTCACTCTTCATTTATCTTATACTATAAACTATACTTATACTTCACGTAGCCCCTCAGTTCATCCTCTGTCTAAAAACAAGCCGTCTCTTTAAGCTCTCTTTCTTCTGACTGGACAACTTTTCAGGAGCCTGCCGGGGGGCTGCACCCAGTGCTTGTCAACAGCGCTTTGTCCTCTTTCCTGTGTGCTCCTGACAGCTTCATTAACTTAGCTTGTCAGTTACAATATGGGGCACTGGATTTACTGTTTGTCAGACCACAAATGAGAATTAATTTGGAAAGATGAACGATGCCACCAGAGCACACACCTTTTATAACTTTATTCCCTGGCCGCCCCCCCCGGTGCCCCCATGTTAAAAGAGACACTGCCCTCATGGATGCCCCTATGGCAGATAAAACATATTAAAGTGCTCTCAGGGGTGCTAATCCTAAGCTTGACTAAGCTGTTTAGTTTTTGTTTATTTAATTTTTTCTCCCCTGTCACTGGTTTTCTCGGAAAATGGATCCTATTTCACGGAGGGAATATTTTCATGGTCTTCCCCCTGATCTCTTCCGGCTGTTCTGCTCCAACTTTTAGTGATTTACAGAGATTCCTGATGGAAAGATAACCTTAGCTACTTGTTGTTAGTGGAGAGCTACACGTCCACGTCCATCACTAAACTCTATAAATCCCTTAAGAGTTGAGGCAGAGAAGCTGCACGACATCAGAGAAAAACAGAAAAAAATTTAACTTTCCTAATCGACAAAGCATGTCTGTATGTAATAACTTGAAGGGTTCGTCCTGACTCCTTTAAAAATACAAATACTGCTGTTTAGTGATAACAGTTTGGGGTAATGTAGCAAAGTGTCAAAAAAATTTACCACAAAAGAAAAAAATTCACAGCTGATAGTTAAAGATACCAACGTGTTGCATATGACAGAAGTGTGTACAAACAGTAAGGCTGGGCTAACGGTTGATAAAGGGAAACTTCTGTATTTTTCAACCTGGATCCTTTTTTCCCCACATTTTTGTGTCTTAGTGACTAATGGGGACTGATTTCTTGTCCAGCTGCCTCTCAAGGTGAAATGGGGACAGCAGTTGTTGAAATTGGTCCAATATTAAGCGAGAACGCTGCAGCTTTTTTGGATCCAAACTAACATTAACATGTTAAAACACCAACGCTGAACCAAGCAAAGAAACAACGGTTTCTGGTTGAACAAAAAGGATCGTACTCTTTCACAAAAAGGTCTCTGAAGGATCCTTCCATAATGTTGTCAGACACTTGTTATAATAATCTGAGTCTGTCTGTGGTAGAAAACAAGCACTTTTAGTGGACATACAATAAGTCCCATAAGGATTACATTGCAGCCTGTTTCAGGGCTGCCGGCTGCAACGCTCTCGCTCAATAATGGACCAATTTCAAAAACTGTTCTCCCCCATTTGTCATTTAGACACAAAAACATGAAAAAAAAATGGTGTTGTTGAAGTTGGAAGTTCCCCTTTAACACAAACAAACACATTGTAAATGAATCTCGTCACTATGAGCCGTTTGTGTTTGTATGTGTGCATTAGTTCATTCAGTGTATGTATGTATATTTTCTGTTTTAACAATTTTATATTTGTTGTTTTCGTCAGTTTGATGTTTTGATGAAGCTTCCTCCCATTAAAACCTTAAACTTGGCAACCGGGTTACTTTTT